AAAAATTAGCCGGGCATGGTGGCATGCACCTGTAATTCCAGCTGCTTGGGAGGCTGAGGCAGGAGAGTTGCTTGAACCTGGCAGGTAGAGGTTGCAGTGAACCAAGATCATGCCACTGCACCCCAGCCTGGGTGACAGAGTGAGACTCCGTCTTAAAAAAATAAAAAAATTTTATTTTGAACCCACCTCCTGGGTTCAAGCAATTCTCCTACCTCAGCTTTCTGAGTAGCTGGGATTACAGGAACATGCCACCACCCCCGGCTAATTTTTTTTTCTGTTTTTAGTAGAGATGGGGTTTTGCCATGTTGGCCAGGCTGGTCTTGAACTCCTGACCTCAACTGATCCACCTCAGCCTCCCAAAGTGCTGAGATAACAGGCATGAGCCACTGCGCCTGGCAAACAAAATTTTTTATGGCCAGACACAGTGGCTGATGCCTGTAATCCCAACACTGTGGGATCCTCCAAAGTGAGAGGATCACCTGAACCCAGGAGTTCAACACCAAGCTGGGCAAAACAGTGAGGCCTCGTCTCCTCAAAAAACAAAAAAAAATTAGCCGGGCGTGGTGGCACATGGCTGTAGTCCCAACTACTCAGGAGGCTAAGGTAGGAGGATTGCTTGAGCCTGGGAGGTTTAAGCTACAATGAACTGTGATGGTGCCACTGCAATCCAGCCTGGGTGACAGAGTGAGACCCTGTCTCAAAAATAAATACAAATTAAAAATGTTCATGGTATAAACGTGCATTCTGAAATAATGTAGTTCTGTGTTGCTGTTTTCATATTTTATGTTATTTTGCTTTTTAAATATTATGTGCATGAGATTTATCCGTATCATTGCATGTAACTGTAATTTTTCAATTTTCATTGCCATATGACATATTGTATAAGTATACTACAATGTGGCCAGGCGCAGTGGCTCATGCCTATATCCCAGCACTTTGGGAGGCTGAGGCGGGAGGATCACGAGGTCAAGAGATGGAGACCAACCTGGCCAACATGGCGAAACGCCATCTTTACTAAAAATACAAAAATTAGCCAGGCATGGTACCTGTAATCCTAGCTACTTAGGAGGCTGAGGCAGGGAGAATTGCTTGATCCTGAGAGGTGGAGGCTGCAGAGAGCTGAGATTGGGCCACTGCACTCCAACCTGGGTGATGGAGCAAAACTCTGTCTCAAAATAAAAATAGGCTGGGCGCAGTGGCTCACGCCTGTAATCCCAGCACTTTGGGAGGCTGAGGTGGGCAGATCACAAGGTCAGGAGATCGAGACCATCCTGGCTAAGAGGGTGAAACCCTATCTCTACTAAAAATACAAAACATTAGCCGGGCATGGTGGCGGGCGCCTGTAGTCCCAGCTACTCAGGAGGCTGAGGCAGGAGAATGGCGTGAACCTGGGAGGTGGAGCTTGCAGTGAGCCGAGATTGGGCCACTGCACTCCAGCCTGGGCGAGAGTGGGAGACTGTCTCAAAAAAAAAAATAAAAATAATAAATAAACAAAAATAAAATAAATATACTCTAATGTACTGATCCATTGTGCTGTTGATGGGTATGTGAGATGTTCCCAATGGGTGGTGATTAGAAACAGTGCTTCCAAGACCATTTTTGTACACGTCCTGGTGCTTTTCTATGGCAGTGGTTCTCAAACTTTTTGGTTTCAGGACAGGTCTCAGATTACACCACTGCACTCCAGCCTGGGTGACAGAGAGAGACTCTATCTTTAAAAA